GCTTGGGAAGGGCTGCTTATGTTGTAAATGTAATACTTTGGATAATGCCTAGAAAGAGTTTTTCTCTCTCTTTTCTTTCCTTTAATTCTCTTTCACTGTAACCTCATCTCTCCACATTTCTCTTTCCTTACCAGTACTCCTTCTCTTCTTCACTGCTTACTCCCATCTGTATGGTCAGAAGGAATAACCTTGATGAACAAGAGGAAGAGCCACTATCAAGATAATAGTCAAATCAAAGAAAATTGTAGTTGGGACAGAAGTGTAATCTAACAAGACATTCCCTAGTTTTCACACTTCTTTAAAAAAAGTGTGTGTATGTGGGTGTGTGTGAACGCATTGAAGACATACAACTTTTTCCTCTTGTTCCTCAAGGTTATTCTTCCCAAGTACATCATTAACATGAGGATCCAAATTGTTGAGGACAATATGCTGATTCTGTAAACTACTTAGAGAGGGCCGTAAAGGACTATGAAATGGTATATAAGTCTATTGCTATCAAGTTTTCTTCTTCTTTTTGGTTGTTTCTCCTACATGGAGACAAGAGAAGAGGATGTATATATATTTTGAAGTGTTTGAAAACAGAATAATCCAAGAAGTTTTGGAATTAAAAATTATATAAATGAAATACTTTATTTTTCTTAGACTTTTTATTTAGTAGCTATTAATCTGTTTATTTGATTTTATTTTGCCATTGTAATAGCTTTTTAGATTCTGCTAATACTGAAAACCCATTTAATTGAATATAATATACAATGAGAAAATTGTTTTAGACCTATATATTTAATTTCCTGAGTTATCAGGATCAATTTAATTTTAAGCTGATTCAGCCTTTTAGATATGATGCATATATTTATAAAAACTGTAAAATTGTAAATAGTTTACTTTAATCAAGAATGACACAAGGACATACTTTATCATCTCTTTCATTTAATCTTATTAAATCAACCACATTTATCAGACCATATAACAAAACGCAAAACATACTTATCATAAAAAATAAACAGATCTCTTCTCTGAATGGAAGATCTACTTCTTTTTATGAAAGGGACAAAAATCCAACCCAAACTCCAAAAAGGAGAACATGCTTTGAAAATGATCAGGAAGAAGTACTTTGGAATACATGAGAATGTATGGTAAGCATTTTTGAAGTGTGCACAGGATTTATGGAGAACAACTCTTCAGTAACCTTATCAGGGCTGTTAAGAGAGGTAAAGAACTCATCATCCTTCTTTGTTCGGATTTATATGTGAGGACAGTGCCTGATCAGGGCTTTTATGGGTAAAAAAAAATCTTTTGTCCTAGCTAAAGACTGGAAATGGATAATAAACTATATATTCCATAAGGGGGCAATTATGCAGATTGGTGTTCTTCAGCTAGGAGTCACTGACTGCAAGGAATATAGTACATTCATTAATTTGCCAATTTGTCAGCTTAAAGAAAGCAATGTTTCTGTGGTAAATTATATCATACACTTAGAATAGATTATTATATGTCTGGCTTTTAAAGTAGTTTTCAGTCAGGGTTGAATGTAGTTGCCTTTCTGAACCAACAACACCTCGCACACAAAGTGCCAACCGATTGTCAGCTTTCAGGCAGGGCCAAATTCAAGTGTTAAAAATTATATTTAAATTTTTGGAAAGATGATATTAAAACACAATAGTAGTAATAGTAGCACCGCTAGTAACTTCAATGTGATATTTCTGCCAAAGTGGGAAATTATTCAAAGGGCAAATTTGAGTAGAGGCAGTTAATTAACATTATGCAACAAGAAACATGACACATTCTCATATAAAACCACACCAATTCAACTAGAACCCTATGCGCCTACATCATTGTATTAAGTTTCTAATAGTAACTAGATTATTTTTTAAAAAAAGTATTTTTCCAGTATTACGTTTGGAGGTGTCTCTTCGTCAAACACTTGAGAAGTTTGGCATAGAGAGGTTGGAGCAAGTATGTAGTCTGACTCTTATTAAATTAGCAGAGAACTGCGATGATTCTGTTACACAGATGCTTTCTTTGAAGTTTGGTTTGGCTCAAGACTTCAGTACCCCTTTTAGGATGCTTCACAGTAAGGTATGGTTGGAGAGCCATAAAATTTGTGGAGGCTTCAAGCCTTGATATTGTTAACATACTTTTCATAGATACTTTAGAACTCTTTCATCATCCCCTACTAATGCTGTGATTTCTTGGGATCTTTCAGAGCGGGGATGGGTGGGGGGCCTTTTTCTTCATCTTTGTCTAGCAGGACCTCTCTACACTTCATTGTTTCAGAGGAACCAGATGGGAATGGCAGTCAATTACCATAAATCCTCAAAGTCTCCTATTTGCTGATGTGTAAATATCTTTTTGCTTCTTTTGAATAGTACTCACTGATCAGTCAATTAGATAAATAGGTACACATGTTTAGCCAGACAGATTAGATACAGAGCAACAATGCCAAACACAGCAGATACACATATGAATTTATACATGCTTAAAAAGAACCCCGCATATATCACATGAGATGAATATTTCTGAAAGCATTCTCTAAGCTGAATTGCAAATGAGCTAGGCTTAACGATAATAATCACCACAACAATAGGCATACTGGTAAAAAGGTTTATGGTGAACAAGTTCATGTGCCACTGTTTTTTATGCAAAAAGGCCATGCACCACCTGTTTCTATGTAAACTAGAGGCTGTAGAAAAATGGTACAACGTAAAATAAATTCTTACTTTAAGGCATCATGAAGCAAACAGAGAAAATTGACGTACAAAATCAATGATCACGTTAAGTTGTTTCAGAAACATTCTGTGAGGTATGAGCTAATACAACAAGATTAAGAGATGCTGTCCCCAATTTTTTTAAAATCACAATGAGTTAGTCAGATTGGGCAATTGGTCAAATGTATAAGTTATGTATAAATTAGTACATACATACATTCATCCATGATAGCTCTCACTGCTGTGGAGAATCAATGAAAATCTAAACCACAACAAGTTGAACCCTCCTCCCCAACACTCCAATATTTAATATTTGTAAACAATTCAAGAAATAAATTCTATATGATTATGCAGGAATGCAGTTCTCAATACAATGTTACCTGTATGAGGTGGATGTCTCTCTGGCAGAATCAGATGCTGGAAATTAATAATGCACACAGCCTCAGCTCCCAGCCATCGGTCAGAGACAGCCCGGATGTAGTATTGAGAGGGCAACGGTTCAAAAATTGGGATTGTAAATACCAACAGTTGAGTTTCCTTTGCAATGACCTAAGATTGAAAAAAATGAATCCTTATTTTCTCCTCAAGTGGCTAACATGATAGTCTATTTTATTATATAGATGTATACAAATAACGAAATGAAACACAGGTAAGGAAAAAAGAAGCCTCAGTTTTGATATAATGACTCAAATACTTAACTCTCTGGAAAACCTCTATTTTAAAAATTGATGGAAAATTTGGGCAGAAGATGAGATGGCTTTGAATCACCTGTTCAGCATGGTTGTCTTAAAAGATTGACAAAATTGAATTTGGTCTTCCTAATTCATAACACTGGCAGTATTTTCAATTTAGGCATTTTCTAATGCAGCAGCTCCTAATCTTTCTGGCTTGACAGCCTGGTGTGGGTGGAAGAAGGAATGGTTCTGTATGAGTGGCACGCACGCACGCAACTCCATTTGCACAAGCAGCAGATGCACGTGTTCTCTGCCTGTGCAAATGGAACTTCACATGTTTGGTTTATTGGTTTATTGGACTTATATGCTGCCCGTCTCCCAAAGGACTCAGGGTGGCGTACAACATAAAAACACATAATACAAAAGTTAAAAGAAAGATTAAATAGAATATCCAAAAAAACCAATAGACATTTACAATGAGATTTAGAAATTAAATTAAAATTAACAATTAAAATTAATAATTTATTTTATTCAGGCCAGGCCGGCTAGCTGGAAAAGCCAACTTTTCAGGGCGTGCCGGAAGGAGCGGAGGTCGGGAATTATACGCAGCTCCGGGGGCAGCTCATTCCAAAGGGAAGGCGCTCCCACAGAGAAGGCTCTCCCCCTGAGAGTCGCCAGCCG